TAGGGAAAAGTCACTTAATATGATCTCCATTTGAGGGCAGGGACCATGTATATTTCTGTTTATATCCCCAGCACCCAGTACAGTACTTGGCTTAGAGTAGCTTTTATTTATTCAAATTGAGAGCTTTCTAATTTTCCCATCAATAGTGTATTGCTCTGCCATTACTTTTTACTTCTGTAGTAGGTAAGTGGTAGAATATGGAAAAGGTTTAAAGCAAATCTTTAGAAGAATAAATTGAACAGGTGAAATTTGTTAGTTCACCTTTTCCCCTGTATATTCGAGGACCACAGTTATTTAATTCTAGCAGAGTAGTTTGAGAACCACTTTATAAATAGTTGCTTTTCACTTATTTTTCCCTTTATTTTCTGAATTACTTAAACATTTTGCTCACCTCAATTAATGTTTATGAACATCTTTATTTATATGCTCTGTCCAATACTGAGTTCTTCAGATGCTGCATAGAATGGAGAGCACCATAGTCTCCTTTCAGGGCTCACAGTTTACTCTAGGATAAGATAGATAACAATAAGCTTGCTGACCTTTTTTGTGTATATAGCGCATAGAGAGGATATTAAGCAAATTTAGTTTGTGGACCTGAAAAAAACATTTTGCCCTGTGCAATAAGAGTTGGAAATGTGTTATTTTCTTGATTCTAAATGTTCTAAACATTCTAATGTTATTTCACATTTTAAGTTTTTAGATATGGATACATAAATCAGTTTGTTTTCTTAAAATGGTAATTTTAGAAATGTAAATAAAAGTTGTTATTAAGTTGATGTTCTTCTTTCAATAAATGCTATTTTAGAATCAGGGCAAGTAAAGTTAGACCTTGGGCTAGCATTAGGCACTCCACATTATTTATTTAATCTTCACACTATCCTGATTTTACTTGTGAGGAAAATTTCCGCTCACATTAAAAATTACTAGATTGCTCACTAGTGGAACAATAAAAACTTAAACTTAAAATCCAGTGTACTCCTCAAATACCTGTTCATAAGTTAGCGAACAAAGTCTTACAGTGAAAAGTCTTATCGTTTAAGACTAGACTAAAAACATTAGCACAAACAATAGTGGTAACTCATTTGATGTGCTTGTCTCTGATAGTTGGACATATCTTTTCATACAGGAGAGTAAGTGTTAGAGTGAGCATTGAACTACAATCAGTTTCTAATCCAGTTCACAGAAAGGTTGGTATTTATTTTTTTCTTGAATGTGAGATCTTTCTGTTTCACTCTTTTTGCTTTTTTAATTTTGGGCCAGTTTGTAACTTAGAAATCTAAGGTGGTGGGATACTATGTATTTTTAAAGCACACAAGAAGAAATGGGGGTTTTGGGGTCAGTCTCCATAGGTTTGCCCAGTGTCCTGGGCTGAAATGTATACTGCTGCCCAGTAGAATTGTCATTTCATAGTGGAAATGTGAGAACAGAATAAATTGAAGTACTGCAGGGAGGTATCCTTGAGTCTTTTACTTTACTTTTTGAAGGGAAGCCTAATAGTAGTTAGTAGCTTCAGGTTGTTTTATAGCATCTTGGGGTGAATTTCAAGAATAACTTGAATAGACTGCTGCTAGGAGCAGGACATTCTGAGGTGGAGCGAATGTCCAGGTTGCTAATTTCTAGGATAGAGATAATGTACAGCACTTCTTGCATGTTAGTCGTTATGCCCATCTTCATTTTCTCTGTCTACTCAGAGTGGTATAGATTTTTCTAGGACTTAGCAATTCTTTAGTAGCCATCAGTCGATTTTATTTGAAACTCCGTATTAACCTCAGTACTTCATTCTTTTTTACTCCTCCATCATCTTGTAGCTGTGTCCAGTTTTCCTTGTACCTGTGTTCTCCAGATCATACAATCTCAGTTCACTTTTCTGTGAGCTTTACTTGCTGTGATCTGCCACACTAGAAATTTAGCTACCTGGAAAGTGTCTTTATGAAGGCACCCACTTCACTTGAAATTGAAAACAGATGGAGGGTCCATGTCAGCAGCTATATGAAATAGGAGAGAATAGCCCCTTGGGAAGAAGCCCTGGCAACTCGTCACCTGATACTCCTATCCTCTGCCTGAGAGACGAAAGTGCCTTTCTTTTTTGTCAGTTCTGATAAATTTGTCAGTTTTTAAAAAAAACTTTATTTATTATTATTTTAAATTTTGCTATAGGGCACACACGCTCATTTTTAAATACTAGACTAGTTAACGTGAAGGAAACAGAAAATATAATTGTATGTGATCTGTTTAGTGGTAAAGAATATTTTTGTTACGACAACATAGTACAGAGAGGCTTGTCTAAATTTCCTTAAGCCTCTTAAAAGTTATTTCCAAACTTTTAACTCCTTAATTTTCATGTCTTCATAGACCACTAAAGTTTTCTGAAATATTTAATAGCATCAGGTATTACTGACTTTTATTTATTTTTTTCAGGTATTACTTTTATAATGATCTTTGAAATAAAGAAAAATAAGATAAACTTTTACAAACTTTTAGGTGGCTCTCAAGGAGCAGAACATATATCTATTCTTATTTAAGATTCGAAATCTCTAAAGACTAAATAAAAAAACAAAGCCAGGGTAGTATGCACCCGTTGTTCCAGCTACTTGGGAAGCTAGGCAGGAGGTTCTCTACGTGGTGAGACTGTCTCAAACAACAGTAATAGCAACAGCAAGACCTAGCAGTGCCAGAAAACAAAGCTATCTAAATATGGAACTGTGACATTTATGCTATCGGATCATTTACTTCTAGGAAGGAAAAAATTATTCTAACAGCATTAAAAAACAATTTTTCTTTTAGGATTTAGTTATCCGTCTGACTGATGATACAGATCCATTTTTTCTATATAACCTTGTTATATCTGAGGAGGATTTTCAAAGGTAAATAAATCTTTTTTTCTGGTCTTCTATTGAATCTAGGAGTAAGTAAGTTTCTAAGTTTTATGAATATATTGGTGTTCTTTTTAAAACACATAGCTGTTAGGAACATCTAATTATTTTAGGAAAATACTGGACTATTTGTTCTACAATTATTCAGGATGTTTTTGAAAATAATCATTTCATGAATTATCAAAATTCTGCTTAAAGAGCTTTTAGCTAGATTTATTGGCCTTTTCCTTCCCACTGAATAAATTCTCTTTTTAAAAAGATTTTTTTATTTAATTTAATTTGTTATTATTATTATTATTTTTAAATTTGACCAGAGAGAGACAGAAAGAGAGAGAGAGAAAGGGAACCTGAGAAAGCAAGCTGCCAGGTCCAGGACTTGAACCAAGGTCAGCCATGTGGGAATCCAGCACCTTTAACCACTTTAGCATCTGCTGGCCCCCCCACTGAATAAATTCTACAAAAACAAAATTCTCTAGCTTAGTTTTTTTATTATAATGCGTACTTAGTAAGTAAAAAAACCAGGGTGTTAATTAAAGATTCAGTTTTTTAAAAAATGTCTTTTTCTATTTCCTGTGTAGTTTAAAATTCCAGCAAGGTCTCCTGGTGGACTTCTTAGCTTTTCCACAAAAATTTATAGATCTCCTTCAACAGTGTACTCAAGAACATGCCAAAGAAATTCCAAGGTAAGTCAAATGGGCACAGTGTCTTATTAAACTTCTTTTTATTATTTTTCTTTTCTAAATCAGTACAATTCTCAAATTAATTTTTTTCTTAAAAGAGTACTTCTAATCTCTGTCAAAAGTGGGGAGAGGAAAGGTCCTTCCCTCTCTTGTAATTATTTTTTTTAAAGAATTCTTTTTTAATTTAACTTTATTTGTTTATTTTAATTTGACCAGAGAAAGGCAGAGCAAGTGAGAGAGAGAAAGAGAGGAAAAGTGAGAAAACAAGCCACCTGATCCAGGACTCCAACCACGGTTGGCCATGTGGGTGTCCAGTGCCCTTAACCACCATGCCACCTGCTGGCCCCTCCTTGTAATTATTAAATATTTTCCAAGACAAACTCTTTGAAAGACAAGTTGATTGCAAAATATTTTCTGTATTCTAAGTTTTGTCCTTTATTTTTAAAGCTGGGGCTAGGACTTCATTAAATTTTAGATTTTAAGGAATCTTGATTAAAATCACTATTTACCCCTTGCTTTTCATGTCTTCACAAAGCCACTGAAGTTTTATGAAATATTTAATATAATAGTATCAAGTATTATTTATTATATTTTTATAATGATCTTTGAAAAAGAGAAGAATAAGATTTTGTGTGTTTATATATTTGTATTCATGTGGTATTAACACCTGATCTTTTCATTATAAAGTTCACTATTACCTTTTATTTATTGGTTTTATTGATTGATGTTTGTTGTTCAAATCAATTATTTTATTAGGAACTGCAAAATGATGCTTTTCTTTTCGCTTCATTGCTAGAGGGTACATGTACTTATCAGTGAGGAAGAGATAGAATTCACCTCCTGGATTAAGGTGGCTGAATTCCACATGGCCAACTGCACAGTTCAAGTCCCACACCCGGTGGCTGGGAAACATGTAGGGCACATATGCATGTGTTCCCAAGTCCTGAGAGCAGAATTGAGGAGAAGGGACTGTGGTGTGGTCATCCTGCTAGGGGATGCTTTCTCACTTTCCCTCTTTCTCTGTGTAGTGAATGTACATGCACTATAGCAAAGCCTAAAAAAAAAAGAAGAAGAAAAGAAAGCACCCTCTAATTGGAAGTGGACAGACTGTAGTCCCATCTCCATTTCTCCCTTTGGGATTTTGGGCACAGACACCCACCAGGTCTGGGACTCAGACTGTGTGATCAGCCACATGGAATCTAGCTTCCTTAACCACTAAGCCATCGGACCAGTCCCAAAATGATACTTTTCTGGAGCCAGCAGGTGGTATGGCAGTTAAAGTGCTGGACTCTTGCATTGCAAATGCGGTTCAAGTCCTAGACACGGAGGCTTGAAAATCACACTGAGCACTGTGCATGCATGACCAAAATGTTGAGAGGAAAATGGAGGAGAAGGAATTGTAGCATAGCTATCTCCCCTGGGGGTGTGATTTCTCACTTTGTCTTTCACTGTCTCTGGCATATGCACGTTCTCTACAGCAAAAGCCAAAACAAATTTTTTAAGGTGCTTTTCTAAGTCTGTTATTATTTACATGTTTACTAGGTGTGGATTTATAAAAAAACATCCTCATCAGTTAGGACTCTATGATTGCTCTGAAAATTCATAAGGAAAGAATAAATGCTTAATTCTTACTTTTAAATGATCATTTTCAAATTAAGGTGCTGGTACTCTATAGTTACTTCTGTGATATTCAGCTAGTTTTTGTTTTTAGTTTTGACTTTCTCCTCATCTTTCATGGTGAACTCATGAGCATATATATGTGTTTCAGTCTGTCTTTTTCCCTTTGTTGCCCAATTTATCTAATCCTTTACCATTGAGAGTTCCTATATATTGGTCCCTATGATTTCAATATGCTTTTTTACTGATTTTTCTATGTGGAGGAACTTATGCAGTGTGGGAGTTTACTGTCTCATTAAGTGTGTTATAATGTGACACTTTCTTTTCAAAGGTTTTTGCTACAGTTAGTTTCTTCAGCACCTCTTTTGGATAACTCACCCGCACTTTTAAATGTGATAGAGACAAATCCTTTTAAGCACCTTACACACCTTTCACTAAAACTTTTACCTGGAAATGATGTGGAAATAAAGAAATTTCTAGCAGGCTGTTTGAAGTGTAGCAAGGTAAGAGTGAAATATTAAATGATTTTTAAAAAATAAGTACCAAAGGTTTTAAATAAATCACTGAAGAGCTATATTGCTATTAGTTTTTGTTTTCTGAATAAAATTTTGTAACTTGTAATAAATTTATTGCTTTTCATCTAGTCTAGATTCAATGGCACCAACAATTAAGAAACAAGTTTCTAATATCTGTGACCTTGCACAGGTCACTTAGATTCTTACATCATAGTTTCATCAGTTGGTAGGTGTGTATAGGAATCTCTCACCCATTATAAATGGAATAAAATAGAGCTAACATGGTGGTGTGGTGGTTGAGACAGCTGGATTCCACATGGCCAACTACAGTTCAAGTCCTGGACCCAGCAGCTTGAAAAACATGCCAGGCGTATGTGTATACATGCCCGAAATCTCTAGGAGAGTGAAGAAGAAAGGATTGTGGCAGCGACATTCTCCCTTGCGGGGGGTGGGGGGGGTGCTTTCTCATTTTCTTTCCATCTGTCTAGCAACCACATAGGCCCTATAGCAAAATTAAAAAAACAAAAGACTAATAATAAATGAGATGAAAATATATGAAAGTGTATTGAAAATTACAAAATGCTATGTGATATTCAGGATACAAGGAAATAAACACATAGGGATGCCATGTATGAGATTTGTTTTATCAGGTCAGCCAGTGGTGTGATGATTAAGGTGGCTGGATCTCACGTGGCTGACTGTGTGGTTCAAGTCCCAGACCTGACAGCTTGAGAAACATACTGGGCATGTGTGTGTGCTCAAAATCCTGAAGTAGAAATGGAGAAGAAGGGGCTAGTAGATGCCATGGTGGTTAAGGTGCTGGACTCCCACATGGCCAGCTGTGGTTTGAGTCTCAAACCTGGCAGTTTGCTTTCTCACTCTCTTTCTCTCTCTGTCCATCTCTGTCTCTGTCTCTCTTTCTCTCTGGTGAGTGTATGTGCCCTATAGCAAATTTTTAAAAAAATAGTAAATTAAATTGAATTAATAATTCTTTTAAATAAGAGAGAGAAGGGATGGCACCACGTGACTATCTCTTATGGAGGGTGCTCTCCCTCACTTTATACATTCCCACTTGCAAATAAAAAAAAGGGTTTTTTTTCTTTCTTTTTTACTTTTTCCCCCTAATTGCCAGAGGGTGCATGTATTCACCAAAGACAGAGAAACAGAGAGAGGTTGAAAATACCCCTTGGTAGGGCATGACCACAATACAGTCCCTTCTTCATTTCTCTATCCTGTGGTGATTTTAGGCATGCCTGCACACATGCCTGGCATGATTTTTAAGCGCCTGGGACCAGGTTTTGAACTATGGTCAGTGATGTGGGATTCAGTTTCCTTAACCAATTAGGTATGAGGCAATCCCACTTAGATGTTTTTGTAGTCTTTTTAGTTAAATACTACTGATGAGTATGTCTTATACTTTCTTTTTTTTTTTTTTTTGGAGAGGTTTTTTTTTCGCTATAGGGG